AAAAAAAAAAAAAAAAAAAAAAAAAGAAGAAAAATTTATCGGTTAACGAGCGAAAAAGTGTGATTTAACGTCAAGTCGAATTAAATTCCAATTTAACAGTCGTTTTAATCATTAAACTTTTCTACGCATTTTGCTCTTTCGCCACGGTTGACAATTTTACAACTGGCAAATTACCACCACACATAGACGAATTTTGATTAAAAATCCGATCGCTTTCACCGTGACTCATCATCTTTCTCCGATCTTTCTCCGATCTTCACTTTATCTTTCATTCAAAGACGATTTTCAATGAATCACGCGTCTCCGATAATTCCTCCACGAAGAAATTTTTTTATAATAATAAATCCGATCTTATCGTACAGATACGATACGATGGAAAAACTATTTTATTTTTTTCTCGAATTTCACGTGAATTTTTATTCCATTCCCGATATCTAAATACTTGAAATACATGAGATATACGTTTAAGATGTTTAAATCAATGATTTAAAAACCATTTCAACGTTAGAGAATCGAAGATTAAAATTCTATACGATAAAAAGTGTAAACACCAAGTATCTTCCAATCTTCGAACGAGATAAAACACAAATTTCTATTCGAACATCATTAAAAAGAAAAAAAAAAAAAAGATATACATTTGCATGATTAAATCAACGAAACGATAAATCTATCGTAAGATCAATCTTCTAATTATTTCCACGACAAGACTGTTGTGTAGCCACAGGGGAGCCTAGGTGTGAATAACAGCTGACAAGTCTGTGAAGGGATCTCCGATGGATTCCTCTTCTTTTTCTCTTTTTCTCACTCCCTCGCGAGGCAACTTAATTTGCGTCGCCAGTCGAAGGGTTAACGCTTGGGCCCAGGGAAATGGAAGGCTTCCGCCGATAGGTGTTCCAGAGGAGGATGTTGGTTACGCACGTCCCCGTGTTATAACGTCTACACTTACGTGTACACGCCGGCAAAAGCTCTTATCGATTTGCTCTCACGCCACCGAGATGGACGAACGAGAGAGAGACCGGAGCGAAATAGAAGCAACTTCCGCATTCTCCTGCGGAGAACCGACTTTACACAGGGTGTTGATAAATTCACGGGATATTTCTGATTCTAGATATCGAAGGAGAAGAGGAAGGAAATTGTACAAAGTGTACAAAAATTAAGAAATTGGATGAAATGGAACAGGCCTATAAGAATGTTATCACATTGTTGCATGCAACTTAATATAATAAGCTTTAATTGGTATTTTTATATCGCAATTTTTATCTTCTTGTTATTTCATGAATATGCAGAAGAATCTAAATACGAGGCCAAAAAGTTTGAGCGAGGCCATCTTATCGAGGGGAAAAGGAGATGGAAGAGGAGAGGGGAAAAAAAAGAAAAAGGTAAAAAATGGTAGAGAAAGCTGGAAATCCGTTGTCTCCGTTGAATAACCGCTTTTATTTGCTTGGTTGGCACATTGGGAGCTATCGAGGAGCTTTATGAAACATTTCTACTATTTCCTGCCTGGCCGTCGAGTATGGTAAAGTATCGTGGTATCATCGTGTACGAGTAAAGAACGAGCGGAAATAACGAGGAACGTAATAGACAGGATTCAACCTCGAACCTCACGTGGGATGAAAAGTGACCCGTATTAAAAGTAGATCGAAATACGCGTATGTGTAATTTAATAATAAATAAATGAATCGAAATAAATAAATGAGTCGAAAATGACAAATTGCGAGTGTTATTGTTATTTCGTTTCACGAATGGCGAGTATTCGGGAAAGGGGGGAAAAAAATCTTTGAGAAGAGGATGTTGAAACGAGTCACTCTGCGTATCGTGACTGGAAGAAATTGTATCCTCCGTAAAAAGAGAAAGTAAATGGAATCGGGGAGAAAGCTGAATGAAGA